ACGCACCAAAGCCCATGTAGCTTCAGCCTGTGTGAATTGTAAGAAGAAACATCTTGGATGTGATCCAGCAAGGCCATGTCGACGATGTGTTCTAGCTGGAAAAGCTGTAAGTTATTCTTTCCCGAGGTTATATTGACATAGTGATCTATTTGATATGACTGTGATGCTCCTATATCTCCCAATGAGAGCTACAAACTGACGTCGAACAAGTCTTCATGTGTGGACGTTACACACAAGAAGAGGGGGCGGCCACCATTGAAAGCTGAAGACTCTTCCCTTCGATCTTATACAACACACATAGAAAATCCGAACGTCTCAGTTGAAGCTCAATCATCCTCCATGGCCGCCCAACGAACCGTCCTTCACCGAGCCACTTCGTCTCGCGAACTTCGACCGATGACTGACCTCCAGACGATGGGTGAACCCTCTCCAACTGCAGCAACCATGCGGATGCCACGCAATCAACCCCATAGATGGTCCGCATCTGTATTTCCATTGACTCGTCCGATGGATCCATCTCCGCCGATGCCAGGCAATGCAGGCCGACGACCATTTTCATCCTCGGGCCCTGCCTCTTACGCAGCAGGACCACCGCATCCGCCACCTGCATTTATTCCGATGACGAGTGGATTTAACCCAGTACTGAATACAGCAGCCGTTCCTCCTGGGATTGATAGACGATATCCTCCATATGGAGGCCCAGCTTTGCCACCGCCAACATCGCCTCAGCAACACCAACCAGCGGGGACTCCATATCTACCATATGCCGAGTCGCCAGCAAGTACAGTCCATCAACCGATGAGTGATCCTCGTATGCCCCCAGGTCCCCGTGAGCCCTACCTCGAATCCCCTGTTCGGCTTCCTCCAATCCATCAAGCAACCGCCAGCCCGGTTTCCCACCACGCCCACCGGCTAAGTGATCCATATCCGGCAACTTGGATTAATTCGAGTTCTAGTCGCGAAGAGAACCGTGAACCGCGATCCCCCGTTATGCTGCAGAGACCGGTTGGGTCGCTATTTTCGCACACGACACCACGCCAGCACCAGAGATCCATCTCCTCCACCGGTCCTCTTGACCCGATTCCTCGACACCTGGGACCTATCGACTTACCTTCCCCGGTTCCTCTTGGTCACTCGCCCCCGATATCAGCACAACAGCACGCACCATCAAGCACTGAGGCCGAGACCGGCGAACCAAGACCAATTAAACGGCGAAGAATGGCTTTAGACGATATGGTCAATGGCTAGAATAACCCGACCCTACCCCGGTCCCCTTCATGCCTCCTAAGTCATGACGATCTCAACATTGTTTTCAAAGAATATCCAACAGCTGCCCCGGAGGCTAATGTATTGTATAATTCACAATTTCCTTGTAGCAGGGTCTACAAGGAGCGATACCCAGCACGGCGCGTTTCGTTCGGTTTTCACGTTTGAAATGGAAACCAATCCGCTTTGCTTTGCTTTGTTTTCTCGTCTCGATTTGCTTTGCTTTGCTTTTCGCGGGATGAACAAATGAAAAAAGAAACGGGTTTCGGCTCGGCTCCGGTTGTTTTGTTCAAACCACGGAAAGAGAAGATTTGACTTGACTTGACTTCTACTCCGATCCACCTGGGCACAGTCCGAGTCCAGTCTGCGTTTTTGTACTTGTTCGACTCTGTTGTTCCCTGTTTACGCTTGCATTTGGGGTATAAATATTTCGGTATTTCCCTGGAAAGGAACTCGACGAGTATTTTGAAACTCGGCCTTTTTTCTTTTTTATTCCCTTTGTACTCTGTTTCTTTTTTCTGTCTACTACCTACCTCTACCCTACTCCCTTCCCTGATGTTGACCGTTTCCTCTTTTCTCGCGAGTACCCCTTATAGTTTATGCTTTTGAAGACATGGCATGGCGTTTAGAATGGAGGGGTGATCTCGCATTTCTTACTATTTTTTTTCTGGTTCGACTAGATTGTGCTGCATGCTTGTATAACTTGAATGATTTGCATGCAGGTTGGCTGGAAATGTACATCAGGATTCCAAGACTGCAGTATCGCTTAGACAAAAGGCAGAACTTTTCTTCTGAGCTGATCTGAGGATGATAATCAACTTAATTACGAAACACCTAGTCATTCATTCAGCCTTGTTTTTACTGAATTGTCTAAGGTGAAATTATTCGGAGACTTGAATGTACAGACTTTCATGCATCTATTCATAAGCTAAGGGCTAATAGGAGGTATTAATCTGGAAATATCCAGAGCTTAGAGGAATAACCATTGTCCGAATCGCTGGAACTTGCCAACAATGCCCTTCCTCTTGGTTTCCTCTTCTTCCTCGTAAACCCGATAACTATCATCCTGGCCTCCGTCATACCGATCCGTGTGCAGATCCATCTCAGACTTGCTTACAAAGTGTGTCCGCTTGACAAGCTTCCACACAAGGAACATGACGATCATGATCGGAATTTCAATGTAATAAGACACAAAATCGACGCGCTTGAAATACGGACTGAAACATTCCCAGCCCTGTACCAGCACGAGCACGACGTTGAGACCGATAGCAATGATAGGGCCGAAGGGGTAAGTCCAATTCTTGAAGGGAAGCAGATGCTCCAGGCCCTGGGAGCGAATCGCGCTCCGGAAGCGCAGAGAAGCAATACTAATGCAAATCCACGACAATTGGTTTGAAACGCCGACAATGCTGCACAAAAAGACCCATTAGCATTCGTAGAGTGACAGTCGATTAATGAGCCGAGGACTTACTTCTGCAGCCAAGACCACAGTTTTCCTGCTCCAATGTAACTGGCACCGAAGCACAATCCACTAATGACCGAGGTGGCAAGCACGGCGACCCAGGGTACATGGAAGCGGTTCAAGTGCCCAAAGAAGCGTGGTGCATAGCCATCCACTGCAAGGGTGTACAGCAGACGTGATCCCGCAAACAGGGCGTGATTGGCGGCTGAGATCACAGATGTCATGATCACGGCATTGATGAAGCTGCCTGCTACGCTGCTGCCTGCCTGCTGGAAGACGATCGTAAAGGGGCTGGTACGGGTATCGCCATCGGAAAGGCCGGGGTAGTTGTACGGGACGTTCAGCCCGATGATCAGGATAGAGAGCAGATAGAATAGGATAATGCGCCAGAAAACATTCCGCACTACCTTGGGCATGTTCTTGGCTGGGTCTTTGGTTTCACCAGCCGTAATAGCAATAGATTCAGTGCCACCACTGTTTTAAAGTTAGCAAAAAGGGTAATAGCGGAAAAAGGACTGAGATGGATGATCGTACTAGGCGAACGACGCTGTGACGAAGACTGAAGCGAATCCACCAATGCCGCCCACGAAAGGCGCATCGCCGGTATGCCAGTATTTGCCACCAATATATTCATGATCAGTGTTGCCACCGCAGTTGACAGCAATACCGAGAATAATAAAGATCTAGATTACCAGTTAGTCGGGTGATGCTCCAGCCAATAGACACGCACTCAAGGAGCCTAAGACATACCACGATCGTAATAACTTTGAGCAGACTTAGCCAATATTCGATCTAATCCGGAATTAGTATACGCGCAAAGTAATGGATCTGATAGGGGAGAAAAAGAAAAGCAATACATACCTCGCCGTAAACGCGCACCGATAGGACATTCAGCGCAATAACGACAACCAAAAAGATCAAACTAATCGCCCAACCAGGGAAATTATCCGTCCAAAACTCCAACAATAGCTGGAGAGCAATAATATCCGACGCAGTGGAAACAGCATCGTTAAACCAATAATTCCAGGTTAATGCAAACCCCAATGCATCATCAACAAATCGTCTAAATTACACAGCAGCCCCAAAATTAGTATCGATCTGCAGGGCGCGGAAGGCGCAATTTCAATGTAACGCTGACGGACTCACCCCGCATAGGTACAGAAGGATCCCGCCACAGGGACAAAGGCAGCCATTTCACCCAGGCAAAGCATCGTGACGAAAACAATGCCACCGCAGATGGCGTAGGCTATGAGAGTTGAGGCCGGTCCGCCTTTGGAGAGAGAGGTGCCGGTTCCGAGGAACAAACCCGTGCCGATAGTACCGCCAATGGCGATCATTTGCACCTGGCGAGCAGACAGCCGGCGGGCCAGCTTGTCCGCGTTTGTAAAGGGGGTAGACGAGACATCGCCGACATACTCCTGCGGTTCAGGCTTGGAGGCGGGATATTTCTCGGCGTCGAAAGAAGACATCTTGAAAGTGTGGTCTGGGGGTGAGGGAATATATCAACCTCGTATTAGTTGGGTACCGGCTCGGTACTCTTGATCTGGTGTCGATATTCGATGCCCTTTGAATCGAGTCCAGAGTAAACAGTCTGCTCTAGAATGAGCTGCTGCTGTAGCTGTAGTTCGCAACCGCAGCCTCGAAAACCAGGCAGTGCTGGTAGATGTTGCCCTAATCTCGTGACCCGCACGTGGTTACCCCGGATTTCGATCTCGATCGGCCGAAAGAAGCAGTGACAGCTCGACGACGATAGTCAGTGGAATAGCTAAAGAAGAGTAAAACATCTTGGGGTCATCAAAAGGAGAAGTCTTCTTGCTGAAGTCGTGCGATGGCGTGATTGTGAGTTGCGTTGACTGGACCGGCAAGTCCCGCCCGCGATGACAAAAAAAATTCAGTCGGATCCACTTAACGGGGCAAATGTGGAGGAGGTTCATGTTCAACGGGAGTTCTGCATTGCCGGGTAACGGCAGAAGAGCTGTCACTTGGCTATTTCGAGTCTATTTAGACCTCGTGGGGTGTAGGTTTCTACTGGGCTGATATAGATGTGGAGAGGTACCAAGGTGAAATAGTAAAGATAGACACTCGGAAGTGGCAAATCGCTTCATTTATATACTTCAATGCAGATTCACAATGCTTTTGGGGCTTCGCTGGGACATTTTAAACATGATAAGAACAGAAAGGGGGAAGTATAGAAAAAAGAAGAGGGAGCTGAAGAAGATAATAGAGAGAGAAGAAAAGAACAGACGCCTGAGAAACCGCATAGTACAATGCATTAACCCAGCAGACCACTGGCCAGAGCCTCCAGATCGCCCAAAGTCTCGATCTGAGGCTCGGCCTTCTTTTTGCTCTTCTTGGTCTTGTCTCTCTTGTAGGTACTCTCCTCCTCGCTGGACTCCGGCTCGGCAAAGGACACCCGAACCTTCTTGCTGGGGCGTCGGGTATCCTTCTCGGGCTCCGATTCGGGATCGGATGGGGGTGGGGTCCCGAGATCCATCGGCTCGATGTAGGGCAGCTGGAATCCTTGTGCACCACGCTCCTCGTCGGCCTCCTCGTCCGCAAGAGCTCGTTCGCGGGCCTTGCGCTTCTCCTTCTTTTCCCGACGCTTGTCGCGCGCCACCTCCTTGTCCTCGAGATCGGCTTGGCGCGTACGCTCGGTCTCTCCCTCCAAGAACTTCTCGCGCTGTGCCTTGGCATCGCCACGAGCCTTGAAATCCTCCTCGTCCTCCATCTCGTACATCTCGTGGGCATTTCCATCGTCGTCGTAGACGAGCTTTGTACCCTTGCCCTTGAACTTGAGGAGCTTCTTCTTCGATTTGAGAAGCTTCTCGCGGCGCTTCGAGTCGATGACCAGCGGCTCCTGGCCGTCGATCGCCACCTTTTTGGCAACCGACGCATCGGAATCGGAGTCGGAGTTGACCTGGTCAAGACCGGCATCACCGGCGACGAAGCGACGCTTGACCGACAGGAAGTCGGCATCTTCGTCGGCATCCTCACCAGCGCCATTGCCAGCACCAGTAGCCACAATGGTACCATCGTCGTTGATAAGCTTGTGATAGTGCTCTGCAAGCACGTCCTGGTTTCGTCGCTCGAACATGCGGTCGTATCGAGTGCGCACCTGTTGCTCGTCCTTCTTATCCTTCTTATCTTCGGCATCCGAATCATCCTCATCGCTAGACATAGAAGCCATTTTCCATGAGGCATTCTTGCGCTCCTTGGTGTCGTCTCCCTTGATGAACTTGATACGGGGGGACCGGGCAGACCCAGACTGCCGGCAAACTCTTCGAGCGGGAGTTCCTTCAGGTTGAAGACCTCCTTATCCTTCTGCACGTAAATAGATTTGACGTAGGAAATAAAGGCCTTTTGGCCAAGGTACTTGAGTTCGGGGTCCTTGAAGCACATGTTTTGCAGCTGGTTCTTAATGCTCTGTTGCTTGTTCGCCTTGATATTGATTCGTTCGATGGGGACCTTCTTCTGCTCCAATCGCAGGAGCATGCCCTTCTCTTCGCTTGGGTCGAGGAACAAAACAGCACGGCCAACTCGCTCATATCGGGCTGTGCGGCCTACTCGGTGAATGTATGTGTCGGCATCTTCGGGGCAGTCCATTTGAATAACCCAGTCGACAGCGGGGAAGTCGAGACCTCGCGCGACAACATCCGTCGCAAAGAGAACGGCATGTTGAGATTGGGAGAACTTGGTGGTAATGTCAAGTCGTCCTCCTTGTTTTTGTCGACCGTGAAGATGCATCAACGGAATACCGGGTTGGAGGTGTCGCAAAGATTCGTAAACAAATCGAACTTGTTTGCCCGAAGATAGGAAAACAACTGTCTTGGACTTGAGATTGCTGCGAATAAAGCTCCACAGAGTGTCGATCTTCTGGGGCAGTGGAGTGACAACGTAGTGCTGCTGGAGAGTAGTAGGGGTGGCCGAAGCAGCGGCTTCGTGGACGGCCACGTACTCGGGCTCTTGGAGACTAAGACGAGCCAAATCAGAAACCTTTTTGGTTTGTGTGGCACTGAACAGCATAGTCTGACGTTCCTTCGGAAGGTGATCAATGATAGCGTCCACCGAGTGCTGGAAACCCATGTCGAGAATGCGATCTGCTTCGTCCATCACTAACAACTGCAGGTTGTTTGTCTCGAACATAGCTGTCTGATCTAAATGTTGCAGAATACGGCCGGGAGTGCAGACCAGAATATTCATGCGACCCAATCGATCCTGTTCCTCGCGCAAACTTCTGCCGCCAATCACCAGGCCGGCGGAAAAGCCATGATACCGTCCCACCTTGCGCAGAACTTCGAAGATCTGGATCGCCAACTCTCGGGTCGGAGATAGAATCAAGGCTCCGAGACCATCGTACTCCGTCCACTGCCTGCGGTATAGGTTCTCGAGAACGGGGACAATAAAGGCCAAAGTCTTGCCGCTGCCGGTCTTGGCTGCGCCGAGGATATCACGTCCCTTGAGGCCATGGCTGATGGCGCGAGATTGAATGTCGGTCATTGTCTTGTAGTGAGAAGCCGTTAGGCCGCGAGCGGTAGGATCGGAGAGTGGTAGATCGGCGAAGTTTTTGAGGGAGCCTTTCAGATCGAGATCCTCCACACGCTGGATGAGAGAAGACAGCGAATCCTCACCGCGCTTGCGTTTGAGGTTCTTCTCAGATCCATGATTCGTTTTGGGGGCTTTCCCGCCAGATTTCCGAGGCGGAGCCATGATTAGCGACGGTGTTAAGACAAGTGTATTTCAAGTGTAGGTTGCTCAAGGTGACGGGAGACCTGCGAATTTCTTATCGAAGCAGCTTTTTTTTCGAGATGACTAAGCATGATAAGAACCTTATCAGGTCGCGCGTTCCCACCGACGCCCCGGGGAATTGTTCAGATGCATCTTAGCATTCGCATCTGCCCATTTGACTCCTCTAGCCATGGCAGAAGACGACGATCAGGATATTTTTGACTCGCTGGAGCGCGAGGCGTCGGAGTTTACCAAGGTGGGTGCATTGGAACTTCCCCCGTTGTGCTCGTCCTCGTGCTCGGCCTGAACTAACCCGCGAGTTTAGGATGCGGAGATCGACCGTATTCGCAAGGCATTTTCCCTTGATTCGTACGTTGCCTAAATTACCCTTACAATTATACTTGTTACCCTCTTTTTAACCCTCTGTTAACCGTTCATTGCCCTATAGATATGCCGTCCTAGACCTCCAGCCGGGTGTTCCTGACAAGGACATCAAGGTTCAATACCGGAAAAAGTCCCTCCTGATCCACCCCGACAAAACCAAGAACCCCGCCGCGCCCGATGCTTTCGATCGGTTGAAGAAGGCACAAACCGCTCTGCTCGATGAAAAGCAGCGCACATACCTAGATGAGTGTATTGCCGATGCGCGGCGGCTGCTGATCCGTGAACACAAGTACACGTTGGACTCACCGGAACTTAAAACGGAGGAATTCAAGGTGGAATGGCGCCAGAAGACCACCCATGTCTTACTAGAGGAAGAAGCTCGGCGGCGGCGACAGGCCAAGGCTCGTATGCAAGAAGAAGGTCGAGAACAGCGCAAGGAAGAGGAGGAGCTGGAGGCGCGTAAGCGCAAGCGTGATAATGACAAGGCATGGGAGAACACACGGGATGAACGCATTGGGACCTGGCGAGACTGGCAAAAGGGTCGCAAAGGAGATGACAAGACGAAGAAGAAGAAAAAGATGAAGGTGCTCGGCTGAGCTTTGCGCAACCTGGTGTTCCAGGTTCATCTCCTGCACTCTTATGATACTGCTTGATTTCCCATATATCCAATCTACTACCACGGTCAATTGTTCCCAGCCTAGGAGATAGGACCTTTTTCAAGTTGGTCCGGTTCTATCTCTATCCCATCTTACCAAGACCTTCTTATCTAGGTTACCCTTATTAGCTCGGCTCTCCGGAATTCGCAGATATTTGATTCGCGCATGTCCGGTGGTCTATATGCATTCCCCGTTTCCCACTAGGCTAACGACTAGAAGCTTCGATGCAGCCCCTCTTATGGACGACACATAATATTTTAGAAGCAGGCCCTTGTATTGTTTATTAAATAACCAATTTATGAATATATGCTATATATATATATAATATATAATATATTCAATACATTCTACCATCGACACCTCCCCACAGTGGACTACCAAATTGCAGTTCAATTTGCTACTCGTAGTGGTTCCCCAAATGCCGAGAAACCCACTTTCTCCCCCGCCTTCCTGTGACTCCGAATCTTAACTCTTAACTCTTGACTCTTCCAATTAACTCCTCACTTCGACCAACCCCAATTGTCGTCCCTTTTTTCGTCTCTTCCCTTTCCTCCCCTCCCCTCCACACAATGGCTGAGCCTGTGGTCCCTCATCAACCTACGCGTGCGTCAGACCATCTGCGCCCATTCCGACCCGCCGCAATTCCGACATCTCACCGCGGGGCTGAGAACGGATCCGCGAATGGTCACGCCAGCAAGACAAATGAATCTGAGGCCGAGGCTGAGGATGATGAGATTCCCCCCTTATCAACCGTGATCGCACGTATTCATGCCCGCGTACACGCCTTCCTCGCCGAGACACACCCGCCAGACTCCCTCCTCGCCTCGGTCCAACAGCAAACCCGCATCTCCCTCGACGTCGTAGCATCAGCGCTCTCCAAATATAAACTCTCGGAACTATCCCTCTCCTATAACGGCGGAAAGGACTGTCTCGTCCTTCTGATCCTGTTCCTAGCAGGCCTACACCCATACAACACACACGTGCAAAATGACGACCCCTTCAACACCCCCAATACCTCCACCATCCCATCTATTTACGCCCTCCCACCGGACCCCTTCGCCTCAGTCGAAGACTTCGTCATAACATCCGCAGAAGCCTACCACCTCTCCATAACAAAATACACCACCGAACCACCCCACACAACCCTCCGCTCCAGTTTCCAAGACTACCTATCCCGCCACGCCTCTATCCGGGCTATATTCGTCGGCACCCGCCGTACCGACCCGCACGGCGCCCAACTCAGACACTTTGACCGGACTGATTCCGGCTGGCCTGACTTTATGCGTATACACCCCGTTATTGACTGGCATTATGCCGAGATTTGGGCCTTCATTCGTCATCTTGGATTGGAGTATTGCGCTCTGTATGATATGGGGTATACCAGTCTTGGTGGGACGTCGGATACGCATCCGAATCCAAAGTTGCAGGTTGATAAGGCTGGGGCTGGGGATGGTGGCGATGGTCGCTATCTACCGGCGTATGAATTGACGGAGGACGGGGAGGAGAGATTGGGCAGAGAGTGAGTGAGCGGGATGTGATTTGAATCATTGAATCAAGAGTATTTGCAAGCGGGATATTTTTGATTAGATTGGATTGGATTTGGAAGAGTTTAGCGATGGCCCTCTCTGGCTTCTCATCTTGTATACACACACCCCCCTTTCCCCTTACATTGGTCATGTCTATAGATTATACTCTACAATCTGTGCTCACGCACCATCCTATATATGGATTTTACTCTGGATCTTTCTTTGTTGGAACATACTATCATAGTATTTTTGTGCTCGCTAACCATAGAGGTGAGAGCGGATTTCTGCAGAAAACATGTAGCCGAAAACATACCACACAAACATACTCCTCCCATAACTGGAATGAAAGAAAAAACAAACAGAAAAGAAACCTGAACTTAAAGCACAGTAAAACATGAAATCACAAGTGTAGAAGATAGTAAAATCACAGGTGCAGAAAAAGCACATCCACCCACCCTTTCCATGCCATGTACAGATAAACGTCGAATTCATACAGTGTAAGACAGACAAAAACGGAGCGTAACGATCAGCCTGCAGTCCACAGTCACAGGAAGGATAAGGAAAAGATACAAGACGGTAGACATAGTATCTTTAAGACAGAAAAAAAGAAGCAGAAACGTGAAATGACCCGCACCCATACATTGTACATTCTTTGAATGAAAATGCATGTCACGAATCTAAGATGGATAGAAATTGCCTGTGGCAGGCAGATCAGACACACGAGCTTTCGAACTTCTGACTTCCCACCTCCATGTAGGTCTAGCGATTTCACGTGACCGAAGCAGGTGTCATAGTCTCCATGCGAGATGGAAGGGGCGACAGGCTACCACCCTTGATATTTTCCTTCCGGGGACTTGACATGTATGAGCGGGGCTCAAGGGTCGGAGAGTCCGGGACAGCAGTCTTTGAAGACCCGGCGGAGATGTCGGTCATGGATCGGCGGTTCGCAAAGCGGCGACGATACACAGGGGTACTCTCAAGCGCGTTAAGAGAGCGAGACGAAAGTGAGCTGTGGCGAGCACTGTTTGCAGAGTCCTTCATCAACGCAAAGCTATAACCTTGTCAGCTTCCAACACTCAAGCAGGTAAAAGAAAATTATGAAGTATGGAAACCACGCTAACACTTACGTAGGTGAGATCGAAGTTGCTGGAGTCCAGTTCGCGCCTGGTCCCATACCAGTTGGCGAGGCAAAGCTTCCCTGAGAGTTAGGTGTAAGGAGGGTGCCGGCCTGCTGAAGACGCTGCACAGAGGGTGATGGGGTTGATCCCTGCACAACTTCCACTGAGTAATTGTACTCGCCAGCGCGGTATGCCCGACGCTCATTACTCTGCTGCTTCAGCATTTTCTGAGCCTTAGTGTCCGCGAATCGAAGCAGCAATTTGACACTGTTCTCCTTCACTGTAGTGTTGTGAAACTCGCTCAATACTCGCTCAGCGATTTCACGACTCTCAAATCTGTACCAATGGTTCAGCTAACGCAGCTCGACTTGAGGAATGGGATTTTAATCTTACCGAGCGAAACCAACCTCCTTGCTCACACCGGTCTTGTCGTCACGACTGATCTTCTCAGAGACCACGCGGTAAGGCTCGAAGTGGCGACGAAGGTCCTAAAATTGCGGTAAGCAGTCATTCCTTTCCATGTATGAGAATTTCAAGTTCTTCAACATACTGCTTCAGTCCAGTCGATTGGAATGTTGGTGCAATATATATTTGTGGATCCTCTGTCTTCGAGGTCCTTGAGGCGAGAGTTGCGAGACTTCTGAGCGAAACTGGCTTGGTAGCCCAGGTAGAAGAAGCCTCGGATGCAGTTCTCGCAGGATTCGAAACTGTAGTACTGAACAAATCCGAATCTATCGATCGCTGTGTTAGTATGATTAGCGCACGATTATTGGGGAGCCAGACATACCCTTTGCAAAGACCTGTGTCCAGGTCGACGATGGCCTTGCAACGCTCGATCTTTCCGAATCGAACGGCGTAAGCATGCAGCATATCGTCAGTAGTCTCTGGAGGAAGCCTCGGATGTAGACATTGGTAATGCCTTCACGGTTCTCCAGGCATTTGGCCAGAGTCAACTCGGATGGGTTGGTCCACATGGCCGGTACGGCACGAGGGATGGCGGGATCCTGCTGGGTCAGGGCATCGAGGTCTTGGATAACATATCCATTGGTGGTTTTCATCATCTGGTATGCTGGTAGTGAGAGAGGACCAACCTGGGGAAACATGCTTGGGTAGGAATAACCCGTGAGAGAGGCACCGTCTAGAGAGGGTACAAATGGTGTTGGATAGTACTGAAGTGAGCCACCGTTTTCATTCTGGGCCCCCTTTTGATCAGCTTGGCTCCAGGCGCTTTGTTTGTTATCCTGCAAGTCGTAGTTCATCACGTATGGCCATGGCGAGTAAGTTCCAGAAATCATAGA